TTCAGGGTTGAGGGGTGCAAAGACTCCCTTTTGAGCCTAGAGTGAGGGCCCAACGTCAAGCGACAAACGACAATCCCCAGAGCCCTCAAGTAGAACCCAGAGAATAAGGTGGCACATGGAGAAAGTCATTGACGCGCTGCAGTGTTGCGATGGCCGGAGGCTTTCAGCTGAAGGCGCTTCTCGTCGATGGCCCCTAAGCCCTAAACGCAATACCCTAAATCCCTAAGCCCTAAATCCAAAACCCTAAACCCTAGACTCAAAACCTTAAACCTAAAAGGCGAATCAGGTTCCGAGCCCGAAAAGGTCGAGGAGCAAGGAAAGGACTTCCCAGGCCCGAAGTGGCGTGTCCAAGGCGTTCGAGACTTCTGGTGCTCTTGCGAAGAAAGTCCGCGAGTCCGTGAGTAGAGGGCCAAGAGATCACCGAAACCACCGGTTTAGGGTTTAGGGTTTCGGGTTTAGGGTTTAAGGTTTCCGAAACATGCGTCTCCGAAGCAAACCACAGTGAACTCCGTACTCAAGCAACTACCAACTCCGCTTTTCACACCTGCTCCATTAGGCAACCGCCGTCATACATGTCTGCAAGCACGGGACGAGAAGTAGGGTCGAATCATCTCAGGAAAAGCCTCCAGCTTGTTCCTCACGTTTCTCCATGCCTCGGCAGTCTGAGCTTGGACACGAGATTTGGGCTGTCGGATTACCAGGGCCATAAACTTGATTGCTAGGGGTACTACGGGGTTCTGAATAAGTAGAGATAGAATAAGGTCTTGGGGGTACACTAGGATGCAATTAAATATGTTAATATGGGCTGCAAGGGGGGGTTGTAGTTGTTAGTGTCTCCACATTCTATACAGCCCAGAGCACAGGACGACCTGAGCCGGTACTCAAGACGCCAATGTAGTCCCCCTGGTTGCTCCAAGGGTTTTGCTTTTCATGGTATGGCACGTCCATGGCTGTTCGAAGCTTTGGGTGTTTCGAGTCTTCCACCACGAAGGGGCTACTCAAGCCGAGTCTTGGTAGATGAGCTCTGCCACTGCACGAAAACGAAACGAAAAGGTCTGGCACTTTCATGTCCGTACGAGGTGGAGACGCAGAAGCTCCAGACGATCATAGTTGGGACAGCCCAACATGACGTTCTGTAATATCGGGCCTAACTTTAACTTTCATAATTCGAAACGGGTTGTGGGGTATATCAGGCTGTAATCAAGAAGCCTCAGGGGTAACAGTTGTAAGCATTCAGGCTTCCATATTAGGTTCTTGGATTCCTCACGAACTCGGGTTTCCCGCTGACTACTTCTCAGGACTACAGGTGCGGCGATTCTGTTGCATGCAGGGAAAAGACCGACGATGAGGTCGCGGCCATCTGGAATTCGTTCAGGCTCAGAATCACGAAAATGATGGCAGTCCAGCAGCCAACCTTGCATGTTGAGGTGCGGGAACTTAGACCAGCAACTCGACACGGGCGTTGCTGGGCGCCGGCTACACGACTCAACCCTTGAACTTCGTGATTTTTGGAGGCCTGCACACCCTTAACCCTACCCCCTAAACCCTCAACCCCCAAAAAGCCACACAACTCACAAAGATGAGCCAACGCAGAGTATTCGAATGCTCGTGGCTTCGGCATGTCAGTGTTGGAAACCGCCCTATTGTGTCTTGGAGTATTTGTGTGTGTGTATATATATACACATAGTGTGTACGTACGTATGTAGGTATGCATGCACCTGTATCTAAATCTAAATCTATATCTGTATCTATATCTATATCTGTACCTGTAACTGTATCTGCATCTATGACTGTCAATCTATCTATACCTTACTATGTCTACCTTTATCTTGTTTCATTATCTTACTATATATATATATATTTCTACATTTGTTTATCTGCCTCTCTCTCGTCGATCTGTCCATCTTTATGCACAATTTTCTGAACATATATATAGTGCAGTGTGAACAAACAACACAGCATGCGTGTGTCTATGTATGCCTGTATGTACGTATGTATGTATGCATGCATGTCTGTCTGCATGTATGTATATGTATGCATGGATGTATGTATGTATGTATGTAGACGCATATTTAAACACCTGTAAGTCGGAGCCTGCAGATGATGTCGACCGAAACTGACATGTCTGTATGCACTGCTTACTACATGCATGTATGCACATACTCCTACGAAATTTAGGTCGCTAGCAACATTAATTCTGTCATGTACACGAAGGCACAAAAACTCAAGTTTGTAAGCGAGGACCAAAGGCATCCTGGGCATTCGTCTGCCTAGGCCTCCCAAGCCGGATGATGCCCAGCCGAGGCACGTCGTGCGCTCCTACACTATATAGACTTTCTTTCTCTCTCTCTCTCTCTCTCTCTCTCTCCCTCCCTATATATTCATATATATATATATATATATGTATGCACACGTTGTATGTAAAGATATTTACTTGTTCATATATTTATTCACTTACTTATTCATTTACCAGGGCGCATATGGGTTTGCAGTGGGATATCGTTCTAGGGCTTACTAGGTTTCTGTCTCACCAGGGATTTTGTAGGTTGTTACTGTTTCAAGGTTGGTTCGGGTTTTGGGCTTGGGTCACACAGCAGCTCAGCTGCCTCCGGATGTCCAGAGAGTTCATCTGTTCATCATTCATCGCAAATGTTTTGGTGAATCAGGTTCCTGCAATCCATGTATGCAAGCAGCATCCTTTGCTGGCTCATGGCTGTCATAGCTTCCTGTTGAGCGTCTTACATGGCTGTTCGAACTGACTATAGTGATGTTCCAGTCTGTCTGTTGTTTGTGTAGACTTGAACAAGGCCAAAGAGCCAACGTAGAGTGAGGCGAATCGCTTTGACACTTAAACCTCGTGCTTGCAGCTTTCCCGAACAATACTTCTTGGTTTAGTCGTGCTTCCTGGCATAAGTGGCGAAGTCTTTTCAGATAGCCTGTGATGGTCTCGCTGGGGATTCACGCCCAACACAAATTGCGCAACTGACCTGAAGCGTGGAACACTAGCCCAATAGCCCATAAATGACCCTTGCGCCCCAAAGAAGGCGCCAACAACACTATACAGACCACTATATATACAATACATATACATATACATATACATATATATATATATACATATGTATATATATATATATATACATACACACACACACACATCTGCATGCACATATTATATGTGCAGATATATTTGTTTATATCATATCCTTCCTCTCAAAAAGAGCATCGTCTCCTGTTCGGGGCTCAGGCCGCCGGCTATGGATCCGCACGGTTCGGCAAGGACCGGAAGGGTGTTGTCGGAAGTTCGAGACCTGTAGATATACAAATGGGTCTACATATAAGTATATTTGCATATGTGCATACAACTACATATATATGTTATATATATATATGTGTGTGTGTGTAATATATATATATATACATATATATATATGTATTTATTTAACTATCTGTGTACTTACTTATTCACATTTTGATTGGGAGTCTTGTGATCACAGTACATATCGCATTCAGAAGTCATGCCGCTGCATCCTCTTCTTATCGTTGCCGTTGATAACGGTGGTGATGCATGTGATGACATGATGCTGGTGATCATGTTGGTGACCCTGGTGATGGCGATGGCAATGGTGGCAACGGCAAGGAAGGTCTTGCTGGTACAAATGACGGGAAGGAAGAAGTGAGCCATGTCGAAGCCTCATCATGCCAGCAATAACTTCTGAGTTCGCATGTCGAGGGCACCCGGAAGCCCAGGAAGCTCTCGAATGATGGACGATCCCTGTCCTACTATAGGCCATATATATTCCTTGCATTATTGATCGAACCAAGTTCCACATACAGTTACCAGCCAGACCCGTTTCGATCCACATTGCTCCAGTCCTCCCCTCAGCCTGTTTCAACTGCCTCATCGATGCAGGGAGATGAGTCAGAGCACCCAGGCCAACGAGCTCCGCCGGTGACCAAGGCTGTTGATGACCCTAATAGCCAAGGCTGTTGGACTCGGTAGGCCCCTTTTGTGATAGTGCGGCGCGTGTGTGTGTATGTGTGTGTGTGTATTCAGTGCATTAGGTCATGCTCTTGAAGTGTGTGATTCAGAAGATGCAGCTTCGGTTGGTCTGTTTGACCTCTTGTGCCCGTCCGTGACGCGTAATGTCACCACGATTCGCTGTGCCAAGGTGCATCTCAATCAGCTCCAGTATTGGAGAAGAAGGATGCAGGCATGATGCTTGCTTGGGTGGCACTGCAGTCCCTGCGCAGATTGCATCAGATGCATGCTGTGCAGATCCTGCATCGACTTTCAGAAACGGCGAATACCACTGCTATAGTATTAGAACTCCGGCTGTTGCTGCACCCGCTAATTATGCTTGTTGTTATCCCTCCGATCAATAATATGAGTCTCGGCTACTATGTGTCTTGTTGCCTTTACTGTGATGCACATGCCACTCCCGTCATCGTGCTGGAAGTCCTTGCCTTTGAGCTTGTTCCCTTATTCATACGTACTCCTACAGCAGTTTCAAAACCTGGGAGGCCAGAACCTCATCTCAAACCTTTAACCCACACGGTTCGTTTCAGGCAAGAACTACGCCGGTGTCGTGCGTAATGGAAAGCCTGAGCCTCGTTGCCCTTACTCGGCTTGAGGCTTGCTCCACCGCCTGTTCAGCTGCTGCCTCCTGTGACTATGAGGGCTTGTTTTCAGAACTCTGTATGCTGAGGTTCGAGAGGAAGAAGGTGGACACGGTTGAGGCCTTGTCTTGCTCTGGCAATCGGCCCACAACTCAAGAGACAAACGCGCACATGCCTTTGCCCAACTTGACTGAAGCCCTACAACGCCTGCCATCAGACGCAGTGCATCCCAAGATCATACTTAGTATTGGTAGCCCCTTGAGTCCCAACTTCCAACCCCTCACCCCACCACTCCTCTATCCTACATGACCCTAAGCGGAAATAATGTCGAGCCCGTGAAGGCGCTGAGCAAGGAGGAGCGGGAGGCCATCTTGGCTGACATGGAGGAGGAGAAAAAGAAGAAGATGCAGGACTCCCACAGTCGGATGTCCTCCGGTCTTCCGGCTTTAGTAGACTAGAACTGGCAACATAGAACCCCTTTTCTATGCTCTGCGCTACAGATATGCGACACACTTATGACATGAAGATGGAGAAGTGCTGGTTCGTGGATCCAGGGTTTGCGTCTAGGACTCTGCTCCTAAGGTGCTGTACGTAGTTCGAAAGGAGATTCGGGCTTGGCTTGAAACCCGTTCTTTCGAGTCTGCGGTATGTACCTTCGTTTGATGCGGATGAAGTTTGATTTGAGGCGTAGTGCTTGCAGGTGCAACAGCTCTTGAAGTCCCAAAGTTGGCAACCTTGGTCTCTCAAAGAGACCCTGAAAACCTGTGAGCTTTGTAGCTAACCGTCTCCGCATGACGGACTCACTGCCATGGCAGGCGATTGCAGACAAGATGAAGCAGCAGGTCAAGAGGACAGCTTTTGCTGGCGCATGATACTCGAGCAGATTGATGTTTATAATCGACTCTGCCTGAGTCCCAAGATGCCGAAAGAAGTATCCTTAGACACTAGTCGAACTAATTCCCACGGATTATGCAGTGTGGTAGGGTCCCACACACATGGCCGGGCTTTATCAGTGCAGAAGTGCTTGCAATTCGGGAGCTTCTGAGACTGTTCGTACTTGGCGTGCTCAGAGACTTCGGGTTGCTTGCTCCACATGGAGGGTTCCTGTACGTGGAGGTCACCATGCTTTAAGGGGCTTGTGGTTTCTGGCTTGTCCTCATAGGTGTCTTCGAGCCTCGGGTTTGAACGTTTCATGCGGGTACTGTAGCATCGTATAGCTGTACCGGACGCATGCAGCTGTTGGTTGCGGTCTCAGACTATGATGATGTTGGATCCTGCTCTTTCGAAAATCCCGACCTCACATCCCCAACTGCTTCAGGGAATTCAGATCAGATGTCGTGAAAGAAATATCAGGCCAATGGGAACTCTCCATTTGTGGAGCCTTGACAGCATAGGGACTTCTCCAAACCCTTGCGCGCGGCTGTGTCTTGGAATGTTATGATCCTGTCTCTTCTTTTGAGTCTTGGGGCTTCCGGGATGAGGTGTCCAGGTTGATTTCATGTTCAGTGCCAAACGCAGGAAAAAGAAGCAGCAGCAAGATGAGGAGACCAGGAAAAGGCGCGTCGGGAAGGGAAGAGCTTAAGATGGGTGAGAGAAGCTGAGAGAACGGGAATAAGTTAGGTAGTGGTTCGACCCGGCTGTTGAGCCCTGTTTATGCACCTCAGACCCTATTTCAGGCTATAGACGGGTCCAGCACATTATCTTGCCAAGAACAAGTTGGCTTGCTGTCAAGAGCCTGGATTGTCTGGTGATTTGTGTGATAAAAATGGGAGGAGACTCTAAGATTCGCACCGGAATGTGTCTGCGACGGCTCAGGACAGGCTCCGGAAGCACGTTAGGCCTAGAAAGCCCAAGCGGTTCCCTTCTATCAGGGTCCAGATGGAAGAGGTGGAAGCACTCGAAGAGGAGAGACGGCGGCAGAAGGCACCTTGACCTTTAGATCTGCCAGGTTTGCGAGGTTTCGAGCTACCTCATTGGCCTAACTTTGGGGAGCTATTCAGATGGGGTTGGGGCTTCTCAGGTCGTTGAATCACGGGTACAGCTAGGCCTCGGGATGTTAGGCTTTGGGCCCAAACTTTGAGATGGGTTCCGGGTTGTCAAGGTAATCCGCGACTCCATGTTCACCGACGGTTCGAAGATCTGAAGTCTTGGCGAAATTCAGGTGAAAGAGCTGAAGAACTGGCTTCGACAGCTCGGGCCAAAGATGACGGCGTGTTCAAAAGCCAAGACAGAAGTGACCAAGAGTGCAAGGTCGCAGGCGTCGCAGGTGCTGTAAATTTCCTGTCCAGTCTTTGGTTCAGCACGATTTCGCGACAGCCCATCGCCGCTGCAATGAGGAAAGAGGAGCAAGATCGGGCAAAGAAGGCCGGCCGACGTTCATGCCTTTGGTGATGCGATTTGCCGCTGTTGCTGTGCCTCCTCCGGAGGAAAGAGATGCAGCCATGGTGCAGCAGATGCAAGAGGAGGACCTTGCTTTTATAGTTTCAAGCCTTATAATTAAGATCGCTCCCTGCTAGACTGCGGTAGACTCTCACAGAATTCTTCGAATCCTGAACGTGGACGTTTGGCCTGTGCTTCAATCTTCGGGATGTGGCCGTCGTACTGAGAATCCTGATATTTAGTTTCAACTGTTGATTTTCATACCAGTCCTGAGGCTTTTGAAGCCGTAACGAGCCCTAATGGTCTATCTCGCAAGGATTCATGCGCGACGTGAAAAGTTTAAGCTGGAGCATCGTTGAGTCTCTCGAACTTCTCCGCAACAAAACACGTCTAAACCCTGATCTCACACCCTCAGAGCCCCAAAACCCGACAGCCCTAGGCCGCAAACCCCAACTTCCTGGAATGCCCACAAACCCCTCAAAACGCCCCTAACAAGGAGGTCCAAAAGGCCGAACAGCAGAAGCTGCTGGAGCAGCAGAGGCCTGGATGCCTGGGTTCGGTGTGTTTTCATTCCGTTTTGAGGGTTTAGGATTTAGGCTTTAGGGTTTAGGGTTGGGGGGTGGGGGGGGATTTGGTTTAGCTGGATTGGGTTGTGTTCAGGGTTCAGATGTGCTGAAATTTGTCTGAACCCTGCCTGTCAGGTATTCACAGCAGCCATAGCTTTCGACTAGCTGTCACTCGCTGCGCCTTTTTTTGAGAATCCCAATCCTTAGCCCTCGAGCCCTAAACCCCGGTGAGCCTTTCGTCTCGGGCACTGAGGGGATGGACGCTTGGCATGTTTAATATAGGGGCCTTAACAATT